ATGACACCTGCATTCCGATGTTCATAGCAGCACTATTTACAATAGCCAAAACATGGAAACAGCCTAAATGTCCATCAACAGGTGACTGGATAAAGAAGATGTATATTTATACAATGGAATACTACTCAGCCATAAAAACCGACAACATAATGCCATTTGCAGCAACATGGATGCTCCTGGAGAATGTCATTCTAAGTGAAGTAAGCCAGAAAGAGAAAGAAAAGTACCATATGAGATCGCTCATATGTGGAACCTAAAAAACAAAAACAAACAAACAAACAAAAACAAAGCATAAATACAGGACAGAAATAGACTCATGGACAGAGAATACAGACTTGTGGTTACCAGGGGGGTAGAGGGTGGGAAGGGATAGACTGGGATTTCAAAATTGTAGAATAGATAAACAGGATTACACTGTATAGCACAGGGAAATATACACAAAATGTTATGATAAATCACACAGAAATAAATGTGACAATGAGTGTGGAAAAAAAAAAACTTGCAGAAACACAGTGAGATTTGGAGACCCACTGATTTTGTAACGTTAAATAAATTGTCTTCTCCAAATCTTAATGTATTCTCATTTTATAGTGGGATAGTAGCCCCTGTTGTAGTGTATTGCTTTAAGGATTAAATCGAATAACTCATATGAAAGAGCTCAGCCCCTAATAATTATTAATTTTCTTTCTTCTTTCCTAATTTTTGGTTGTATTTTTTCTATTGATAAAAATACCTGAAATTTTGGTTATGTCCAGTGCCATCTGAGTGTTTGGTACATATTAGTAATAGGTTAGCTAGCTTCTCTTTCCTAATACTCTGCTGATACAACTTTCTTTATTATCAACATACCATCTTGCTTAAGCCAAAGGCTTTATCTTAGTTTCCAGGGTGTTAATCTCCTTTAATTCTCAACTACCACTGTATTCCAAGAATTTCCCTCTCAATTTGATATTGTGATACTACTGTAAAAGTTTTCTTCCATTCTCTTGCAAATCTCCTTTTACATATCCTTATTCACTTTCATTCTTCAATCCCCAAACTCTAGACAGTTTCTCAACTCACTTCTCCCAGCGCTCTTTGCTTTTGCCCTTCTTTTTGTGAAACAGGTAGTCATCTGGTCTCATCACTTCAGCTCTAAGTGAAGTGTACCCCTCATTAAATCTATCTGTTGGAGTACGACTCCACATCACCAGTTTCATACAGGGAGTTTATTTATCCATTCCTTGATTTTTTTGTTTGTTTGTTTGTTTTTTCTTTTTTAATCTTTGGATGTACTGTCTTCTCAAATGCTGGTCAATGTTCTGCTGTAAAATTTTATATCCAAGATAATTCAGTGTCTTTTTTCTTTATTTGGTATCATAACTTATTTTCTTTTTAAAGTGCTATCATCCTTCTAGTCAATAGACTCAAAACCTTTATTCCTTCATCTTCATACTCTATGTCCAGTTTAATCCTGTTATTTCTTGTTTAGAAATATCCTATATTCATTCATTCATTCTTTCTCTACTACTAGCCTCCAAGTCCAGAGAGCATGCTAGATGATTTCAACAGCTTTTGATATTCTTTCTATCCCTTGTTCCTTTCTTTAGACGAGCGTGCCCATCACTATTACATTAGTGATTTTCCTAAAATACTACATTTATCCTGTATTCTCCTGTTCAAGATTTTCAGTGATTCATTTCTTTTGGCAGTGTGTATTTTGAAGGAAAAATTTGCTAATGGCTTCCCAGTGTTGACGTAAGTTATTTTAATTATAATGTAACTTAAATATGTCCAAATATAAAACTAAATATAAACTTTTGCACCTACAACTGTATTAACTAAAACAGGTTACAAATCCATTGCAAACAAAACTATAAAATGGATGAAATTTAAGTTAACCTTCATGTGACAAAGGATGTTTGCCAAAACTGAATCAGCAAGTTCTTTATGAACATGGTACTGAGTGCTGTGAGTTTTGCATGGGTCTCTTCTACTCTTGACTTCTGAGAAATCTTTGTTTCTACAGCATGTTATGATAGCATTTGGCCTTCACTTGATACAAATGTATCTTTTGAAAAGTAGATCTATTATCTTTTTTTTCATCCCTTAGCCTGCTATAATTAAAATAGCCTATTTGGCTGCAGTAAGATAGTAAATAAAAATGCACATTCAAGCACTGATAACTACTTGGTTGATTTTGAGTTATTAGGTGAGCATTAAGATGATTCAGAATATGGAGTGTATGTGTGTGTATTTGTGTGTGTGAGAGAGAGAGAGAGGGAAGGAGGGAGAGAGGGAATTTTAGCTGACTTGAAAAAAAGAAACTTAGAAAACTTGTATAGAAAACTAGTGGAATAACAAAATCAGTTCTAGATCTTCAGAGTCTACAAACCTCTCTATAAAAATTGCTTATCCATGGCATAGAAAACAAATTCCTCATGACTGGCCTTCATCAATTTGGATTGAATGTCCTTCCTTTTTTGCTAATTTTTTTTAAATTTCTTACTGTTGTGTGTGCATACTCACATTTTCCCAGGTTTGTGCCTTCTCGCCTCTTATAGCTCTGTCTCTATATAATCCCATCTATCAGTAGCCTTTAAGAGCCAGTTCATGCTCTCATTTCCCCTTGAAGCATCTGTCTGCCTCTTCAGTGATAATTTGATACTTCTCTTCCTTTGGACGCCTACTTTGAACTCCTTCTGTATCTGGTACTTGGCATTTCATTTTTTTGTAATATCAATTTTAATTGTTTGATTTTCATGTTCTTTACATTACTAGACTTAAGGGGCCTTAAAAGCAAAACAGTATCTTAGAAGTTTTTTGCGTAATCTTGAGAATCATTGATATTCCTGCAGCACTTAATAAGTGAACCACGTGATCACATGAAATGCTCAGTGTTAAGGATTTGGTTTCCCTTGCAGAAACTTGGAATTTCTTTATATAGAGTGTAATCAAAGTACTTTGATGTGGCAAATTTGCATTTCTCTAGAACTAAAATACCTTGGACGTTCTGTATTTTTTGTATTCATTTATTCTGTTTTTCAAAAGGACTGCTGGGAAAGATCGTGATGGCCATCCGAGATGCGGGCTTTTGAAATCTCTGCTATGCAGATGGTAGGTAGTTTGCAATGAGTCATAATTTATTGAGGATTTTTTTGAAATACGCTTTAAAGTGTTTTACACTGAATTTTCTCCGTACACTTGTGAACTCAGTGCATTAACATAAAAGGATAGGTTTACTGAGCTTGATAACCTCAAAGTCAGAATGTCTTTGAAATGATTTTACCCATGTAATCTTTCACTAACAGAACTGATATGCCAATGGTGCATCTAATTTAAGTATATAAGGTAGGTTTGGATACAGAGGGAAATACCTCAGTGGTAGAGTGTGTGCTTAGCATGCACGAGGTTCTGGGTTCAATCCCCAGTACCTCCGTTAAAAAATAAATCAAGTGGGTTTATATAATTCCTGGAACTTTAGTTTCAAGATACAGTGGCTTTAGTTGTTCCAAGTGAGAAAAAAAAAAGAATTAAGCTAAATAGTTATAATGAGTTTTCTTTTGTCTGGATTTGTGACTAAGAAGGAATGAAGGAAGAGAATCAGTTGAGTTTTCCCCTGACTTGGGCCTTTTGCTGGGTTCTGGACTTCCCCTCGGGCCGTCTTGGAGTTAGCACATTCCAGCTCCTCTGCTGGCAGTCCCACCAGTGGTCCTCCAGAGCCCATAACCATTCTGAATTGCCCTGCTGGTACATTTCTAGGAAATTTTTCACTGAAGAAACATTAACTTCTATAGAGCTCGTACCTTTGTGCTGTTTTACCAGTACATTTGACAAGAAATTAGATACAAATTATTACAGGAATCAGGTAAATAATTTGGGTTTTACAATGTTTGAAGACCAGCAAGTTTATGCCAGTGTTATAGTGAAATGACAGTTTTCTTACCAATATAGTTCATTTGCTCTTTTTCTGAGAAAGGAACTGCTTTTGATTTCTATGAAGTCTTACGATCACTCCAAATCAGAAGTCAGGGCACTAATTTGGGTTCTGCCTATTTTGTGTCCTTGATTGGTGGGAATGCCAGTAAGTTGAAAAAAGGTCAGAAATAATCAGCTAGTTTGCAGAGTCATCAGGCACAACTTAGAGGCTGATGAGGAGGTTGATAGTTGAAGACTCTCCCCTGGGACTATAAAGAAATTGTTAGCCAAAAGGTTCTCAGAGTATTAGCCTGGTGATGTATTCACAGGGTTATAGGTTGTAAGACTCCTTCAGTAGTAATCATTGAGGAAATTTTAGATGTAAACATTGCTCAAACTCCAAATCTACAACCTAGCATAGTGATTGCCCATAGTAGGTGCTCATTTAAAACAAGAATAATTTTTAAAAGGATTAATTGACCGTATGAGGGAGGCATGGTAATTTAGTGGCAGTCAGAGTCATTGTGATTTTTGGAGTCAGAAAGCGATTTCTGAATCTTGGGTCTTCTGCTTTCTGGGTGTGTGAATTTAGCCAGATTTTAAGCATCCTTATCTTCAGTTTTCCCAGTTAGGCAATGAGAATATTATTGTTTGCCTCAATGGATTATTTTGTGGATTAAATAAGATAACCCTATTCAATACCTTGTAGAATTTCCAGTGCAAGTTACTAAGCACTTAATAAATTCTATCTTCCATTATTATTTTGTTGTGTTAATAATACAACAAGTTGTATGGGTATTGAACAAGATACTGAAATCAAACAAACTTCCCTCTCTGTAATAGGTATGTTGCCTATGAAGACAAGTCCTCCTGGTCTGAACTACTGTCTGGGTAGGCAGAAACTTCTCAGTGGTCTTCAATCCTGGCAACAGGCAAAGAAGCAAAGTAGGGAGAAAACGAAAATTGGACAGTGAGGCTATTTTTTTTAAATGCAAGGTTTTGGTTCTTGAGACTCTCAAACTTAATGAAACTTTATTTCTAACTAAGTTTGAATCCAGCCTGGAGAAGAATGAGTCTTTGTAGGTTAATCTTATAAGCGTACTCTGATGATTCCTTTTGGAAAGTAGTAGGATTTCCGGATAGAAGTGTTTATTATGAACCAGACTAACTAGGGATTTTTCTGAAGGTTTGCGAGGGAAAAGGTAGTATTTCCAGCTCCCTCTACAGAATCTGTAGTACTTTTCTTTAGTAATATTTCTTTCTTGTGCCACTAATCTATCAATAAACATCATTACGTTGCATATAAGTCTTTTTGTATGAAAAATGAGGCTTTATTCAGCGACGTAGAGTATAGTGGTTAAGAGCATGATTGGTGGGATCAGAGTGCTTCAGCCAAGCGGTGAAGGTCACATAACCCCTCTGAGTCTTCACCTCATCTGTAAGTCAGGGTTATTAACACAACTTATGTTGTAAGGTTGTTGTGACAATTAAGTGAGATGATGCATGTACAGGACTTGGAACAATGCTTGATACATTAAGTACTCAATAAATGTTATATGTTTTTATTTTTGATTAAAAATGATATTTATTATTGATGAGCTGACCTTTAACACTTTTTCTTCAAAGAGTATTTAATTTATTAAAGGTTGACATTTTTAAAGTAAAGAAAATATATCTAAGAGATCATAAATGTTGAGTGCTAAGTGTGGCCCTTTCTGTTTGGTTGATTGGCTTATGTTTTGTTTTTGTTTTTTAATGTAGTTCAACATGGATCGGGTTAATGTTGAAGAGTTTTATGAAGTTTATAAAGGAGTAGTGTCTGAGTATAATGTAAGTACTGAAATAAATGTAAAGCATTGGTAGTGAAAATGACTTGTGTCTCTCCGGTCTTGTAGATCTCAGCATTATTTATAATCATTAAAATATTTCTTAAAGTGGTCGTGATTCTGCTGATTGCCAGCTGATCATACCAATAACTGAGGCATCCTAGTGCTCAGAGCCACTGGATCAGTTTGAGAAATATATTATTTCATTTTGAAACAAAAATACATAGGAATCCAAAAAAACACTTTGCTGAGATATTGACACATTTTGATATTATCTATGAAGATTGTAATATTCTTAGGGAACAAGACTGTCCAAAATGCAATGGTTCTTAACATGATAACTTCACAGCTGTACCTAATGTCTACTGTAATGATACAAATGCAGATAGAATCATCTGAAAATGTGACTGAGACTGAAGAAATAATGAGTTAAAGGGAGTTGTTTGGAGGGCAGTGAAATGCATTCTTGAAAACAAGAGTATATTCAAATAAGTCAAATATTGTCCCTTAAAATAACACATAATAGATATTTAATCTAAATTAATTTCTTTCCCCTTTTATCAAATTAGATACATTTGTGCTGGTGGCCTGTCTCATCACCCATGTTGTTTTGTAGAGAGTTTTGGCTTTTCTTTTTGCATAAAATTCACTATTCCTGACAGTGAGAATAGATTCCTCTCTCCTCGCTTCTCTATTCCCTTTCCTTTCAACCTACTTTAACCAAGGAAAAATGCGCAGGTCCAGGAACTGGCCTGAGCCTTTGTGTTATCTAGCCCTACATAGTAAAGACCGATAACAAAATAATATATTTTGCATTTGACATACTGGTAGTGTTCCACCCTAGTTTAGAGGAACTGGAGTGTTTTTGTTTTTGTTATAGCTTATGGAACTTAAATCTCATCAGCCTCTTTGTTTTAGAAGAGGCTTCATTTTTATGCCTTTTCTTTTATTAAATGGAAGAAATTTTAAAATGTGTTCTTATCTTAACATCATTTATTCAACCAGTGACAACTATTTTTCATTTCCTAAATTTTTCTTTTACACATTTTCCTTCTTTTATTTGTTCGGTTGACTTTAACAAAAATATGGTTGAAAGTAACTACCTTTGTTAACGCACATTATCTTAGTTTTATTGTATGTAAGATAAAGAGACTGATGGTGACCTATCCCACAGTAGCCTTGATCCTCAGTTATATTCTCATACTATGTCAGGTAGTGTTGAATTTGGTAACAAATGGTAGTTGAGTGCTAATGTTTTATGTACATATCTGAGGGGGCCATATTTCCCTTTGGAAAATAACTTAAGGAAAAAACTTCATCTTTTTTTCCGGTTATTTTTTATTGAGGTAACATTGGTTTATAACATAAATTTCACGTATACAATATTCTATTTCTGACTTTTAATGTCTCCTATAGTATGCTTTCAGAATACTATACATGCACTTTTTAATGTCTGTCAGGATTTTTTTGATCTTGGGATTCTGGAGGTAAAGATAAAAATATCACTGGGTAGATGTGTCATTTCCTCTAAGATACCGAGAATTTGAATGACAGTAGCAGTATCATACTTTAATGTCAGGACAGCCCAGAATGATTGGTACTGATGTTCTTGCTTCTGTTTAATCATCTCAGTAAGATATTCTCTATAACTACTATTTAAATCTTATAATTGTAGTAAAAGAACCTACTCAGGATAAAGAACAGATAGACTGGGAGGGAAAAAAACTATCTTACTTCAGAGTAATTAGTCTCATGAGTAATTTTTAGTAATGCATATGATTTTTTATTCAGCTTCAAGTGACTTACTCAGCTTAAAACAATGTTTCAAAGTATTATTGGTTTGTAGCTGTCTGTTAATGGGAGAATGCACTGTATATATAAACCAGAATATATCAACATCCAGGTATCTTTATGAGATGATACTGTATTTATATGACATAAAATTTTACTTAAGCCCCCTAAAAAGACAATTTTCTTGGAAATTTTCCCCAAAGAGGAGGAAGAGTGTTTTTATCCCAGTAATATTTTGCTGAAGTAAAGAATATTCTTATGGTATATAATGTTTGATTCTTTTAAAGTTCTCTTCTCATGATTCTGACTGATGGTCTGTATTCATGCAAATGTCTGTGTATGTGATATCTTTCGTTGGGTAATTTGGGGTAGCAAGAACCAGATATAGCAAATCTTGGGTCTCACTTGCTGTTGTGGTTGTATTTGCTGCTGGTCCTCTTATTTCTCATGACAATTAATATTCAGGACTTGAGTTTTATGTTCAAGGAGGAGATAACATTTTTAAATGCTGCCTACCATTAGATGCCTCTCAATTCTAGGGGCTTTATATAATTCTATACAGTAGTCCCTGTGAAAATAATCTCAAGAGGCAACATGGTCTAAAGGGACAAGAACAGGTGATCTAATGCTTAGTCTGGCTCTCAGTACAACACTTTACCCTCTTTGATTCTTATTTATGAAAGAAATGATAATATATATAAGGTCATATTAGTGGTTCCATCCATTTTATTATTCAGAACTTGAAGGTGTCTTGCTGTCAGGATGTGAAGTGACTGTAGAATGTGTAGTGTGAAATGGTGCAGCTTCACTGACACTGTTGTACCAGATCCTGTATTACAATTCTACTCTAGTTCCAGGTTTGCCCACATTATTTGCTTCAAATGGTAGAGTTTTCCTGTCTCCCAAAATGCATTGCAACCAGCTTACAATTTCCTTCCCTTTTTTGTTTGTGAAGTCAGATTCTGGGTTCAGATCCCCAACCCACCAGTGTGTGACCGTGGAAGTTATTTACCTTCTTTAAGCCTGCATTTACCCATATATAAAATGGAAAAATACTATGGCTTTATGAGATTGTTGTGGTCATTAAGTGAAATAAATCATGTAAAGCAGTCTCGCATACTGAAAGTACTCAATACATAATAGCTATTGTTGTTGTTCTTCTTATTATTGTTATATATAACATAATTCTTTATAGTAGATTTTGTCTTGATGGTTTCTAGTAGATTCCATCTTGATCATTTACACTTAAATTTGCTGCTTCACCATTTGCAATCATCAGAAGGTAAAAATTTCCTATCACATAGCATTATCATGATCCAATTTTTTTACCATACATACATTGAGTACCTTGGTCAGACAGCGTCTTGGATACCAGGGAGACAGAAATGAACAGAAAAAGCACACTCTCGCATTCATGGAGCTTATGTTCTGGTGAGGATAGATACTAAATCAAGCGTGCCATCACAACTACCTTAGGACAGCAGTCAAAGGGCCATTTAGGAAGGAAACAAGTGCCTTTTTGTTTTGACAATATTTTACTTAAGTAAAAACCTAGGTGACTTGAGAATTCTGTTGAGTCTATTTTTAAGGAACACTTTATGCCTCTGATGGAATTCTTTTTTCAACATTTTTCTTCCCTTTTTGTGCATTTTGTGCAGCCCTCTGTTTATAATTTGAATGGCATTTGTTATTAACACAGAGAGAAATACATAAATGAAAGAAAGGCAATCAAAATTCACTCTTCTCTTTTTGGATAATATGCTCATGCCACCTTCTGCCCCACTGAGAACTTGGCTCCTGACGTTTATACGTAGGCAATACTTCAATATCATGGCACAGAAAATCTGACTCAACATAGTTATCCATAAAAGTCAATTTCACCTGACCTCTGTGAAATAGTGAAGTGACTTCAGGGACATGCATTTAGGGATTTTAATGAGTAGGATTCTCTGTATCGTATTAATTATGAAGTCCTCTCCCTCCTCTTTTTAACTTCTGGCATTTCTAGTAGGTGTGATGACTGAGTTAGAAATTGAATTTAAGTATTGTTCTGTAATAAATTACCTTTATTTTAATTTACTTTGTCCTTGTGTGTTATAAACCCTCCAGAGTCATTGAAATGGCTTACATGGCCCTACATCATCTCTTAACTGCTTTCCTGTGGTCTCAGTCAGCTCCTGATAGCATGACTTCAGTACTGATCTCCATACACCTCAACTGCACTTCTTCCTCCAGCTCTTTGTATTTATTTTCCCTTCTCCCCGAAGTGTTCCATTCACCGAATGTTTCAGACACTGTGAAAGGCACTTTTCTTTGACTGTGTTTTTCATTGTACCACTTCACATAGAGAGTTAAGGACCTTAAAACAGTATACTTGCATTTCTCCCCTCTTATTCTGTGCTGTTATCATACATTTTACAACTATATATATATGTATATAATATATAAAATAAACTTTACAATACATTTTTAATATTTTTGCTTTAAATAATCAATTACATTTTTCTTTTTTAGTTGCTGTGAAATAGTTTTATACTTACCCACATGTTTATTATTGTTTTGTGTAAATCTGTATTTTTGTCTGGCATTATTTTTCTTCTGTCTGAAGAACTTTAACATTTCCTATGGCATAGGGCTGGTGGTAGTGAATTCCCTCAGATTTTGTTTCTCTGAAAAAGTCCTTTTTTAAAAAAGGTTGAGAGATAGTTGATTTACAATATTATATTAGTTTCAGATGTACAGTACAGTGATTAAATAATTTTGTAGATTACACTCCATTATTACAAAATAATGGCTATATTTCCCTGTGCTGTACAATATATCCTTGTTGCTTATTTGTTTTATGTGTAGTACTTTCCATCTCTTATTCCTCTACCCCTATCTTGTCTCTACCCCTATCCCTCTCCCCACAGGTAACCACTGGTTTGTTCTGAGTATGTTTCTGTTTTGTTATATACGTTTGTTTGTTTTATTTTTTAGATTCCACATATAAGTGATAACAGAGTATTTGTCTTTCTGTTTCTGACTAATTTCACTAAGCATAATACCCTTTAAGTAAGTCCATCTTCATTGCTGCAAATGGCAGGATTTCATTCTTTATTATGACTGAGCAGTATTCTGTTGTATGTATATACCACATCTTCTTTATCCATTCATCTGTTGTTGGACGCTTAGATTGCTTCCATATCTTGGCTGTTGAAAATAATGCTGCTATTGGAGTGCATGTATCTTTTTGAATTCTGGTTTTCATTTTCTTCAGATATATACCCAGCAGTGGAATTGCTGGATCATATGGTAGCTCTATTTTTAGCTTTTTGAGGAACCTCCATACTGTCTTCCATAGTGGCTGTACCAATTTACATTCTCACTAACAGTATACTAGGGTTCCCTTTTCTCCATATCCTCGCCAACATTTGTTATTTGTAGACTTTTTGATGACTTTGTTCTGGCACTTAGCCAAGTTACGTAGGATCAATTTGCTCCTTTTGAGACTTACTTTTAAGCTTTTATAGGCTGAGTACAGAGCGTTCCTTATCTAAGGCTAGTTTAGGCCAGTTTCTATGGTGCAGCACCTTTCTGAGGACCACTTGATTCCCTGTGCATTGTATGAGAGCTTTCCACTCTGGCTGATAGAAGCTCAAACTCTTTTAGCCTTATGCTATCTTTGTGAATTGTTTTATTTACTGCTTTCTGGTAGTTATTTTCTGAGTCTTGGGTAGTATCCTCTACACATACACAGACTCTTAGTCAAAAACTCAAGTGAATGTCTCTCAGATCCCTGTAGCTTACTCTCCTATAGCTCTCCGACCTCCTCTCCTTCTCGCCTACAGTTCTAGCCTCATTGGCCTTCCTAAGCCCCAGGCTTTGTCTCTTCTACTCAGTGAGAATGTTGGGCCCTTCTGTGTTCCTTCTACCTGTCCACCTGTCTGGAAGCCTTCAGGCAGTAAGATGGGGGCAAGTATACAGCTTATCTCATTTGTTTTCCTTCTCTTGGGGACCATAGTACTGTGCTGTCATCCAGCGTCTGAAAACTGTTGTTTCACATATATTGTTTCTAGTTTCTAGATGTTTAATGTGAGAGAATAAATCCGGTTCCTGTTATTCCTCATTGCTGGAACTCATTATGATTTTTATAAGTTTCTTTGGGAGAAACACTTTGGAATTTATACCTTTAGAAACGTTCATTTGACAGAACTATGTTCAAGGGGAGAGAGAGAGCTTTTTGAAAAGAAGATGTACTGGAACGTAATTTTAAATAGTGAAATTGTCAAGTGGTAAAGCATTAAATTAAAAGTGGTAGTGGTACGAATGGAGACAAGGGAACATATCTAAAATATATTTTTGCAGGAAAAATGGACAAAATGTGGGAACTGCTTGGCATGAAGCATATGGGTGGAGAAAAAGATAACTTTAACATTTTGAGTTTAGTGGAATACTGATGCAATTAAGAGGAGGACTTAAAGATTATTAAATTCTACTAATTTGTTAATATTATTTTATATTAAATATTATAGGAAATGGTGACAGAAATGTATTCTGGCCCTTGTGTAGCAATGGAGATTCAACAAAATAATTCTACAATGACATTTCGAGAATTCTGTGGACCTGCTGATCCTGTAAGTTACTGTTTAAAATATTAATCAAGTTTGTTTCCTCCATTAACTAAATAACAGGTTTTTGATAGTTTTAGTTTGTTCTTTAAAAGAAATGCAAAAGTGAATATAATAAACACAAATTTTTATTCAAAATAGCCTTTTACATAATTTATTTCTTACATAGTATTCCCCAAAAAGTAGATCTTAGCCTAGTGACAAGATAGAATGGGCACCCACCTTTACTGTGGCATTTTCTTTTGTTGCTGCTTCTTGCTAAACTATATAGGTAAGTAAATTTATTAAGCTCTGTGGCAGAAATTCTCTGAAGTATCAATTACCCTTTGACATAGGGAGGCCATAAATAAAGCTCTCAGGGTGAGGAGTGTTGATATGGTAGCTTCAGACCAGATATGTAAATAAATGTGAGCAGTGGGACTTAGCTGTTCTCTAGTGTGCCTTTCAGTTTGCTTTGTGTTTTCTTTACATGGACGTTTGATGGGGGTGGGGGTCGTGGGGTAGGGTTGGGGGGTGGTTGAAAAGCAGAAGTAACGTTTGAATACATGTGCAAAAGCTCCATGCAAACGTTATAAACTGCGTTATAGGAAGTATTACTGATTTTAAACCCTAACAATGATTTAAATTTACTCTTTTATTTCACTATCACTTGTAGAGTCTGACGGAGAACAGCCAATTCAATTTAATTTAATTTAGACAGCATTTGTTGAGTTCCTTTAAAAGTAGGATAATAAATTAGCAGCATGTATTAAGAAGCCAAGTTGTGTGAATGTTGCTAGATTAAGCCCTGCAGGGGAGAACAGTACACCTGTTCTCAACGACCGAAAAACGCACACATATAGATCTTTCCAAACACTCACAGAGCAACTTACCAATAGGGACTAAAACATTGTTAGGTTAGGTAAAATACAAATGTTGAAGGGTTATTTATTAAAGGAACGATTAATATGACCTGAAAGTAATTAAGGAATCTTTGTTAGAGGAGGAGAGATGTAAACAGATTTTAAAGATGAATCAAGGCACAAAGAAGAGGGAAAGCTCTACAGTATGTACAAAGGTAACAGTGAAGGAATTTGCAAATTAACTGTGGTGTACAGCAAGAATATATGCTTCTCTTCAATGGGAAATGCATACCTGGAAACACAATGAAATATATTTTCTTAGAGGAAATAAAGTGAGGATACCTGTAGAGATGAGTGTGGGATGCATGGCTTTAAAAGCAGGCTGAAGAATTGTGGATTCTGTGTAATTAGAATTCTGCGTAGTAGGAAATAAGAATTCCTTATATGTAGTTTAATTTGGGGTATACTAAATTACTTCTTTGATGCAACTAGGGCAAAGTAAATTGGAAGCGATTAAAGGCAGGGGCTCTAGAAATGGAAAGGAGCAGATTGATGACATCAGTAAAGAAAATCAACAGAACCTACTTTGTATCTTCTCAGGGAGAAAGAAGAATAGAAATAAGTAATATGTGTGGTTGTGAGAGAGTGATTCTGCTTTAGAGGACATGAGGAGAACGTGGTGGTGATGTTAAATGTTTATTGAATATCAATCAAGATATTAGGAAGGAGTACTTGTTGGCTAGATAAATAAGCAGAACTCAGTGTTTGCCGTTTTTAATTTTTGATTTCTGTTTGATGACCAAGAGGGGTTTTTGTTCATTGTTTTTTTTTAAGATAATTATTATGGGTAATCAGCTGACCAAAGAGAGGTAAAGAGAGAAAAACTAAGACGAAAAAGGGATGAGATGAGTTTGTTCTTTCTTTTATTCATTTAATAAATATTTATTGAATCTGCACTGGTATTTGTGACTATAAAGATAGAAGTCTTAAAGAGCTTATAGTTTGAGTGGACACAAAAAATAGTTAATTTCTGTGTGTTGTGGCAAATGCATTGTGTGAAATGTTTGTACTGTGTACTGTGGGAGCCCAGAATTACAGCACTTAGCTTAGTCTGGGGATGGATAATGGGGTCAGCGGAGACTTCCTGAAGAATATTACGTCTGAGCTGAATTGTGAGGAATGAGTAAGTGAACTTAGCTAAGTGAGTAAGATGGGAAATGATATGATTAAACTTATGGGTGCATTACAGCATCACTTTTGGTCTGTAGCAAGTTCTTTATTATTACCGTAGCTAAAGCACAGGGCTGTGAATGACACAGATGAGATCATTGGGGAGGAGTTGGGGAGTGAGCAGGTAAGTAATCATAGAAGGAAGAGTCCTGACAATAAAAACTTGCTGATTCCCTTTCTTTCTAGATATTAATTCAATGAACATTTATGGAGTAAATAATACTATTTATTATAGTATTATACTATAGTAAATAACATGATTTATTATAGTATAGTATAACATGGGCTCATTGCTTGGTCCCATAACTTGGTCATAATAAAGATGATAAGAAAAAGGCATCTTTCCTAAAGGAGCACATAATCTATGGGAGCTTAATTTGGAAGCTCTTTCAGGGTCCCAAGTCTTGCATCATTAAGCATAGTAGGAGTTACTCCACTATGTATTTTTTAAGCTTTAGTTGTTTATGAGCCCCTTATTGCATTATGCAAAGTTGTACCACAGGGATTTTAAAATTTGGTACTAATTGAACATATAAACTGTTAACAGTGGCTATCTTTGGGTGGTAAGATTATGATAATGTTAAACTCTACTGTCCTATATTTTTATAAATTTTCTTTAAAGTGCTTATATTACTTTTATAATAAGAATAATAGTTTTTATTTTATTATAAAATCTGCAAGTGAATGAACTTTTAAATGAAGAGTTGGGGCTCATTTGGGAATGATTCTCCCCTTGAATCTCAGGATCCTGAACTTTTTTTTTTAAATTGAAGTATAGTTGATCTACAGTGTTGTTAGTATCTGGTGTGCAGCATAGGGATTCAGTTATATATACATTCTTTTTCATATTCTCTTTCATTATAGGCTATTTCAAGGTATTGAGTATAGTTCCCCATGCTATACAGTAAGACCTTGTTGTTTATCTATTCTGTAAATAGTGGTTTGTATCTGCTAATCCCAAACTCCTGATTTATCCCCCCTCCTTCCCCTTAAGTAAGCATAAGTTTGTTTTCCAAGTCTATGAGTCTCTTTCTGTTTTGTTAAGTTCATTTGTGTCATTTTCTTAGATTCCACATGTAAGTGCTATCATATGATATTTGTCTCTGTCTGATTTACTTAGTATGAAATCTCTAGGTCCATCCATGTTGCTGCAAATTGCATTATTTCATTCTTTTTTATGGCTGAGTAGTATTCCATTGTATAAATGGAACTAAGATTTAACTATTCATATTCATTTAAAAAGAATTTTTAAATGAATGTTGTATAAAAGTTGAGAAGTACAATTAAACTGCTTCCACCCACCTTTAGAGACAGATAGTTAGCTTCAATTTTAAAGCTAGGAATTAGTCAGTGTTTAAAATCAACTTTATTTGCTTTATAAGTTACCCTTTCACCGGAATTTATTTACAGGTAGGGATATTAAGTAGAGGCCCATTTCCTAAAGCAACAAATGGAATTGAAAGTTAAATGTAGAGTTTGGAACTGAAATGCAAGTAAGTGCTTAAAGTTGATGACTTATGAAAATCTTTCATAAAGAATGACAATCAAAATGATGGGAAAATAAGGAAAAAACTATCTCAGAAGATCTTCCTGACCTTTCTTACATCAAGTTTCTGTAGCTTCATCATGTGGATATTGAAACATGTTTCAGAATGGGAGATTTAGAGTAAATGTTACCTCGTTCATTTCACCTGTCATTCTTTATTCAGCAGTCCAAGCATGTACTGAAGACTTGTCATGAATCCAATGTCATGCTTATCTCTTGGGGACTCAAAGATGTTTTCTACACAGTTAGGACCCTCAAGGAGCTCTCAGTCTAATGGGAGAGTCAGACAAGTTTCAACCAGATATGCTAAAGCCTATCTTAGAGAAAACTACAGGATGCTAAGGACATACATTGAGTATATAACTCAGTCAGTGTTGGGTAGAGAGGACGTGGGATGGGGGCCCAAAGAAGAGGTTATTCAGGAAAGGCTTCCCTAAGGAAATGATGGCTGGCGCCATAATTTAAGATAGTAACATTTGCCTAGTCAAAGGAGAGGTTCTGTTTAGCACAGTAGTGTGACAGAGCATGGTTTGAGCTGGCTTCTTATGGGAGATCAATGCTCCTCCCATCTGCCTTCACTGTTACTTCCCTCAGAAAAGTCTGGATCCTGGGAGAGAAACTACACTTACTCTTTTTAACTAAGTCTTTGAAATCTTGCATTCATCTTATACTTAGAGCACATCTCAATTTGAACTAACCACATATCAACTACTTAATAGCCACATGTAGCTAGTGGCTACCATACTGGACCGTGCAGATCTAGGCTGTTCCAGCAGACCTTACTTATGAATATAGAGCCTTCCCCCATAGTCTAGCTGAAATTATTGGAGTGCTACACTAGGTAAATAATACAAGCAATAAAGTATTATAATGCTTAGTTTGAATTCCTTTGTGCATATTTCTGTCAGGTACTCTAGAGAGAATTAGCCTAAATCTTTGGCCGGAATATTTTTAATCTGTTTTATTGGAAATTCTTACTGCATGTTTCACTGGACCATGCAGTGAAGGGTAGGCAAGGGCCAAATTAGAAAAGGGTTTATAAATTGTGCTAAAGAGTTGGGATTAATTCCAAAGGTTGAAGGGTGGGAAGTGGGGTGGGGTTAGTGAGTTTTCAGCAAGGCAATTAAGTGGCCATTTTTGCATTTTAGAGAAGTTAATATGATGATCATCTGGAGGACTGGTCATAGGGCAGCTTGATTAGAAGCAAAGAGAAGGTCCTTGTTGACCTGAAACAAACAGACTGCCAGATAGTTCTCTAGTAAAGATGGATTTATTCAGGATCAGAGAATTGTAATTTGGAGACTGCAACTTTGGTGAGCTATGTGCTAGTCCCCATGAGGCAAAGGGAAAAGAACACTTTTATAGAGAGGAAAAGGAAGCTTGGGAGG